AATAGCATCAATAATTGCAAGAAGGCAGGGTGGGGGAGGTGGGGAAGGGTTTCTGGTCATTTATTCTAAACTAAGACAATAATTTCAAAGCTCCTTTTTCAAATAGAACCTTTTTTTTTTAATTAAAAAAGAAAAAGAGCCAGCAAATATTTACAAGTGTGAAGTTAAAATTTTTTTTTACAAAGTACCCGTCTCCAAATGTGAACCACTGACCTTAGGTAAACAGGTCAAGGCTGTGGGCAGTTGCTGGGAGACTGGCCTCAGGCATCAGTCTCTGCCAGCTCCTCACAGCAGGGCACCCTGGAACCTGCACATGCACAGATATTCTAAAACAGAGCAAGAAAAAAAGAACAAAAATTTGAGTCAGTGAATACAAACAGCAAACACAGCAAACTTTGATTAAGGGGAGAGGGGAACCAATATTTACAAAAATGACTGACTCCCAGGGAACAGCAGTTTCTAAAGGCCTACAGTTTTCCCATTCAAGTCCTAAACAAAATTACAAATGGTCAAAGTTCCTTTTTATGGCAAGTAAAATAATTTTTAAAAAGCACATGTTACAAATGGACGCTATGCACAAATGCGTCTTGAATTGTTGCATGTGTGGTCCAGCCTGCGAATATATAGATACTTCTAAGTGTGTAACGTATGCATTACGTCATAGAAAACTGAGACGTCCCCTGTACACTAACTTGGCATATAACTGAAGTTTATTTTTCTTTCAAGGCAGTGAAGTTTAAGCATTTTTGTTATGCGAGGAAATCATTATGTAAATGCCTTTCATATCCTTCCCAGTTTCCTTAAACACTGCATGCCAAGCCTCTTTTCATGTCATTTGAAAATTCAAAGTTGTGATCCTGGACCTGTGAGTGTCTCCTGCACTGTGGTAGCGGGAGGGATGCCCAGGGGTGTGAGCTAAGCTGGGCGCTTTGCTGCCCACTGAAAGTGCAGCACGCCACTGGCTTCTCTGTCACCATCCTCCCGCTGAGTGGCCATTCATTGCAGAGAAGTGCCTGGGTGCTGGATTCAGGGACTGATGTGGGTTTGAATCCCAGTAGAGTCCTTATTAATTCCTGTTCCACGGAGCCCTGGAGTGCTGGACAGTGATGCAGTGGGGTGCTGGCACCTTGTCATGCCAAGGCTGACTTTGGTAAGAAGCTGCCTCTGTGCAGCCTAACTCACGACTGTCGTCTGTCCCCAACTCTGTGCCGGCCCTAACTCATCTGTCCCTGCCTCAAGCTCGTGAGGTCCTCCTGATGGGGAGGCTCTGGAGCTGGTTAGACCTGCAGAACGTCAGGCCTCGTCCCTGCCTGGGAACTCAGAATCCGCAGGGGACACGCATGCACGTCAGAGTTTGGGAAGTTCTGAGCCTAGTAACCATTTTCTGGGTGACATTGGGAGGCACTTCTTTTAGGACTTCAGCTTTCCAGTTGTAAACTGGAAGTAGAATGAGAGAATCTCAGACTCCTACCTTTAAATGAGTGCCTAATGGAACTTGACACGAGGGAGTGGCTGAAGTGTTTGGGAGGAAAGGAGGAGTTCCCCAGCCATGACTGCTAGGTGCTGTGCCCCGCTGCCCGGTTCACTCTCACAAAGGACAATGTCCCCTTGACTGGGCACATGTCCCCTTGACTGGGGAACACCTGGGTACATAAGTCCCAGATGGCTCACACTTGCTATATGGAGATGATAACCAAATCCTCCTGGTTCACATTTCCGGGCTCAAAGCAGGGAAACCCACCCGCCTCCAGGCTAAATCTCTAGTCAACTGACTTCCAAACAGGGGTGAAGGATTCCGTTCCCCATCAGAAGCAAGCTGAGCTCAGGCTAATTGGATGGCTCCTGAACATAGGGCCGTGGGGCTGGGTGGGGGGAGCTAGGCCTTTGGAGCTTCCTGGGTGCTGCAGCTCGTGGGGAGGCAGCGTCATCTGGGTCCTGTATCTTTCCCCGGGGGCTCCCTGGCCTGTGCTGGTTTCTATTTTCCTTATCTCTGCTCCCTCTTTGGCTTCTCTAAGGGGTCCCCTGTCACTGCTTCTTTGCGACAGAGCCCTCTTTCCCTCAGCTTCTTTACGACGGCGCCCTCTCGCCCTCAGCTTCTTTACGACGGCGCCCTCTCGCCCTCAGCTTCTTTACGACGGCGCCCTCTCGCCCTCAGCTTCTTTACGACGGCGCCCTCTCGCCCTCAGCTTCTTTACGACGGCGCCCTCTCGCCCTCAGCTTCTTTACGACGGCGCCCTCTCGCCCTCAGCTTCTTTACGACGGCGCCCTCTCGCCCTCAGCTTCTTTACGACAGGCGCCCTCTCGCCCTCAGTTTCTTTACGACGGAGCCCTCTCTTCCTCACCTTCCCTTCCTTCCTGGGAAAGCTTCTCCACCCTCTTGGCTAGCGGCAAAAGTGAGAGATGACTAGCAAGACATGGCTGGGACCCTACAGCTTCATTCTGGGCTTTGGGGACTCTTCAAAATTTGCCAAATTCATGTGTTGTTTTAGATGAAAAATCAAGCTAACTAAAACTTTAAATTTAGAAATTTATCATCAGGTCTGTTCCATTTGCACATTAATTTTTTTAAAAAAGCTCTTTAATTCCATTTTCACTTAAAAAAATCAGAATTGCCTTCTCTGCTATATTGTTGCCTTTTGGTCTCCTCTCATTTCTCTCTGATGCAAGGATACTTAGGATTTGCAAACCTAAATCTACTGAACTTTGCCAAAGGATTGAAACACATTGTCCACGTGATATTCTTTTCAAAATGTTGCCGCATTTGAACCATCACCCTCCCCACCTATGAATACACAGCTATACTCACATGTAGTTGTTTTGCTGATTGGAAGAACTATTTGAGAGTAAATCATAGGTGTCATAATCTTTCACTTCTGTGAAATCTTTCACTCCTGAGAGCTTTAGCATGTATCTCACAAAAACGAGAGTATTCTCTCAAATTACCTAAGTGCCTTTATTAGTCTCAGAAATATAAACATCAATACAAAGCTAATATCTAATATACAATCTATATTTGAGCTTTTCCAATATGCCAATGGCATCTTTACGGTAATTTTTTCACACATTGCATTTAGTTACCATGTTCTTTAGTCTCCTTTATTCTGTAACGTTCTCTAGCCATTATTCATTTTTCACCATATTGGTGTTTGTGAAGAGTGCCAGCATTTGTAGACTATTGCTCAATTTGAGTTTATCTGCATCATATAATTATTTTAAAAGCCAATTCCTATTAAGTTTTTCATATAGAATTAAATTTATAGTATAGTATTTGTAGCTGGGATCTCTCGGTACCCAAAAGTGCATTGTATCAGTTAGTTCTCACACTGCGTGAGACTGTGTAATTTATAAAGAGGGTTAATTGACTCATGGTTCTGCATGGCTGGGGAGGCCTCAGGAAACTTACAACTGTGGCAGAAGGTGAAGGGGAAGCAAAGACCTTGTTCACTTGGCCGCTGGAAAGAGAGAACGAGGAAGAGCATGGAAAACTACCTTATAAAGCCATCACATCTCATGAGAAGTCACTCACTATCACAAGAACAGCATGGGGGACATCACCCCCATGATTCAATCACCTCCCACCTGGTCCCGCCCTTGACAGGTAGGGGTTATGGAGATCACAATTCAGGATAAGATTTGGCTGGGGACACAGAGCCAAACCATATCAGTGCCTTTATGTTTAAACGTGGTCCTCTCCATGCAGGTCCTGTGCTTTGTTCAGCATCCTTTGGTGTCTGTCATCTCCTGAGAGGGAGATGGGTGCTGCTATTGAAGGCCAAGACACCAGTGCTAACAATCTAGGTGGGGACAAGTCACAGTGGGCTCCCTCCCTGACTGCACTGGAGTGAAGGAGAAGCTGTGGGCCAGACAGTGTCCACTGCAGGAAGATACAGCCTGGCCCACAGGGAACTTTGGCAGACAGTCCCCGGCATCCGTGGTCCTGAGGGCTTTTGTGGAGTAGCTGACTTTGCACATGAGTTGGTGGGTCCTCCACTGCTTCAATGTTCAGCCACTAAGTGAAGCTTCAGATGGAGACCCCAAGGCACAAAGGCATCCATCGCTTCCCTGCACATGGCTCCCCCTTTGCCAGACGCTGTATTGTTCACGCTGGTGTGCTCGTTGGTTACCCTAGGTGGGTGGGAGACTTTTCCACATGAACTTGCTCCCAGGAAGAGTGGCACAAGGAATGCAAGCCTTAGTCCTAGTCCTGCCAAGCACACACCCATTTCTTGTCAAGGAGGCATAGCACTTCCCTGCATCTGTCGTGAAGCTCGGAAGCCCCATCCTATGTGTTCAGATTGTCTAGTACTTGGGAGGACAGGGCTGGCACAAAATGCCCTGAGGCAGAATGCAGGGCCCTCTAAGCACCAGGGAGACCCGGGGCCATGAGGATTTCAGAGCCCGAATGCAGCGTCAGAGACATTAAGTGCCCAGATTGCTGGGTTCTCATGCCTCATGTGAGTTAGGGGGCTCTGGAAGTCTAGACTAGTCCTGACAATAATGTTAGATAACTCAGCAGCAAATAACAAGCAGTTAAATTGCATAGTCGTAGCTGCCAGGAGAGAGGCGGTCAGTGAAGGCTGAGGATTTGGGGAAAGCAGCTTCTTCCCAGACCTGTGTCTACTCCAGGGTGCTGACCCTGCAAGGCTGGATTCTCACCCGCTCCTGCTGTGGCTCTCGCCAGCCTCGCTCTTCCTGCTTTTCTCTTGTTCTGCCTTTCTGTGCTTCATCCCTTGGTCAGGGATTTGTGGAAACACCTTTCTAGAACCACAGAACAATGGTTCTTTGTTCTTTTTAGAAAAAAGGTTCTAGAAATGGTTCTGTGTTCTTTCTCGAACACAGAATGTTCTAGAACAATGGTGCTCTCAGGGCTGGAGTTCTGAGCCCTACACAGGGCCATTTGGCTCAGCACCTGTGAATTTGCACTGGGAAAACCAGCTACACATCTATGGATATGACCCTGTACATTGCAGTCCAAAAAAGATGATAAAAGGTTCCCCCCCCCAATAAAATCTTATTAGGGAATCTAAGTAAATCTAACTAGAGAATAAAAGAGAATAACATCTAATCAGGGGATAAAAGAGAATAACCCATTTGGAGATTTTTTAAAACTAGTGATAAAAGCTTCAGCCAAATTAAATTTAAAGGAGTTTACGTCAGTAACAATTCATGAATCAGGCAGCCTTTTGAGCTAGGGTGGGCTCAGAGGCTCCAGTGCAGCTGCATGATGGAAGATTTATGGACAGAAAAAGGAAGCGAGGTATAGAAACGGCTGGGTTGGTTATGGCTTGGTGTTGGATTTATTAGAACACGGTTCAAAGAGTTGGCTACATTTGATTGGCAAAATTCAGTGATTGGCGCAGGTATGGGGTGCAGTCTGTTTACACAGTTATAGTTTATGATGTACCAAAAAACCTTTAGGTGAAATTGAAAATATGTAAGGCAGCTTTAAGCTAAACTTGATTTGACAGTAGTGAGAAGAAAATTATTAGAAGTAAAAATTGCCAGCCTTGACAACGAGAATGAAACTCCATCCAAAAAAAAAAAAAAAATGCCCAACAATTTTTTTTTTTAAGATGTTAAACTGACTTGGATAAAACCCTTTTCAACACTGGCTGCTCGGCCCCGCCTCCCCCTGCCATCTGAATAAGGTCTTGAATAAATTCCCTGTCTGCTTTTCGCCTTAATTACAGAAGCTGGGAAGTGGCCTTTTCATTTGGTACGTTTTTTGGACCGCAAAGTCTTTCTCAGCTCATCAGTGCCCCCTGGTGGTACGCAGGACGAGGGGACATGAACGAGTTCCATTGTTCACAGGCGGGTGACTGAAGGACACCCGGGCGGGTGACTCAGAAGCCCTGCACCTCCTCGCCTGTGACTCAGGTACACCTTCAATATTTTCTTGATGACAATATTTATTGATAGATTGTACTAAGTTAACAGCATCAAGCTCAAAAGAGGCACAGTTAAAAACCAAAGCCATTTCCCCACCCTCCTAGGGTCCATTTATTGAGACCCTAACATGTGTTAGAGACTTTACTGGATTTACTTTTCTGATTTTTATTACATTATATTTTCAATTGTGTGGAGTGGGCTACAAATTTTATTTGTGTGTATTCAAAGCACACTGTGAATAAAAGGTGCTTCCAGGAATCCCCGGCAGGAGAGGGAGCACAGAGTGGGAGAGCCAGGGCAAAGCAGGAGGAGGGCAGCCCTGGCAGGAACAGGTCAGCATGCAGTTTGGATCAACAGGGAAACAGCACATCCCTTCGTCTGCACAGGCTTCTAAACTTCGTGATTGTTTTCAGCATCACATGAGATCCTGAGTAAAAGGCAGCTCTTACTGAGCCTGGGATATCGTGAATAGTGCACACATGGTTGTTATTATTCACTTGGCAATGCCCTGGTCTGCCTGTTCCCTAACACTTCCGCAGTGGCAAGGAAAGGAAAGCATAGGAAGCCTCTTTGCAACCAGCTGGGGGCTGTGCTGAGGCCTCCACCATCCTAGGGCCAGGCTCCCAGTGTTCCAGCTTTTTGATGTCCTGGCTATTTCAATTAGACCCCACTCATGCAGGGAGTCCCATAAGTACCCAGGTACATTAATTTTCCCTCAAAGTGCATCTGCAATGCATGGTTGGCTGACACGCAGACAGCCCCATCGCCAGCCAGGAGCCGTGGCAGAAGCAGCCCCGGAGTCAGACCCCTGAGGTTAGGCTGTGAGTTGCTTGGACACTCACTACTGCTTCACCTTGAGGTTCTTCCCTGGACCAACTGGTGTGTGTCTTGCCTGAACTCGGGTCCATTAGACGTTGACTTCACATTGTCCTAAGAAGTTAAATGAAAAAAGTCTCTGGCTAACGGGGGCAGGAGGCAGGGTGTGGGAACCGGCCTTGCCAGGAAAGGTGCAGCAGGCACACACAATTGACTGAAGAGGACAGCTGAGATTTATACGGAGGATTGCACCTACACCTCCAGCCAGCCTTACGGTTCCCCACTGCTGCCAATACTAAGGGTCCTGGGAGAGCGGGCGCTGGCGGCTGAGCTCTGCCCACATCCACCCTCTCACAAAGCCGCGGAGTGGACTCGGCCTGGGAACCCTCATAATTCAATTGCGGGAGGAGGAGCCGGGAGTGACCCCTCCACCGTGGGCTGTGGGCGTGGTGGGAGGACCATTTCACCCCAGGACAACGGTGAGCACTTAGGAAGCTGGAATAGACACTTCGAAGCCCGAGATGGTCACTGCCCACGGCAGCCTCAGTCCCTTTCTCCCAGAACACCATTTAGCTGTTGAGCTAAATCATCCACTTGGCCCCTTAGAGCCTCGACCTCGTCACAATGAAGTAGATGAGGCCACAGAAGCCTTTGTTATCTCCACAAGCAGCTGGAGCCTAGCTTTGGCTGAGCCCTGGCAATGCCTGCCACACCCCAGACCAAGGTGATAGGTGGGTGGCTGCTGCGATCGGAATGTTTACATCTGCCCCGCCCACCCAAATTCATCTGTTGAAATCCTCACCGGCAAGGTGATGGGGCTATTAGGCAGGGCCTCTGGAAGGTGACAAGGTCATGAGGGCGGAACTCTCGCACGCGGAAAGTCGTGAGGGCCGAACCCTCCTCGCACACGGAAGGTCGTGAGGGCGGAACCCTCCTCGCGCACGGGAGGTCATGAGGGCGGAGCCCTCGCACACGGAAAGTCTTGAGGGCGGAACCCTGAGGCCGGAACCCTCCTCGCGCACGGGAGGTCCTGAGGCCGGAACCCTCCGCGCGCACGGGAGGTCGTAAGGGCGGAACCCTCCGCGCGCACGGGAGGTCCTGAGGCCGGAACCCTCCTCGCGCACCGGAGGTCGTGAAAGCGGAACCGTCCTCGCGCACGGGAGGTCCTGAGGCCGGAACCCTCCTCGCGCACCGGAGGTCGTGAGGGCGGAACCGTTGTACGTGGAATTCTTGCTCATATTAAAGAGACCAAAGAACGCCCTTGCTGCTTCTACTAGGTGAGGGCACAGAGAGAAGACAGCCACCATCTATGAACCAGGAAGCCCCCACCAGGCGCTGAATCTGCTCCTGCCTTGATGTTAGACTTGCAGGCTCCAGAACTGTGAGCAACGAATTTTGTTGTTTATAAACCACTCTTTTTGGTATTTCGTTATGGCAACCCTAATGAACTAAGACAGTAATTTATTTCCCCAAACCTTTCCAGCTAACGTGGGCACTCGAGCGGATTTTCAGAACGTAGAATTTGCTGGTTTACTCCCTATTCCCCAGATACCTACTGACAGCAGGCCCAGCATGGAAGCCAGTGCTACCATTTAAGTACGAATAAGCTGACCTCAAGTTTACAGGCTGGGAGTAAAGTGAACCTTAATCAAGTAATCATTCTAGCAGGGTTATAATTACAAGGCACATACTCTCTTTTTTGTGTGTGGAGGATTTGAAATTTGGAAGGTGCTGAGGTGAGAGGGAACACGGCGCCTTTGAGGAAGGTTCAGTGTGGACAAATGCGGGAAGTAGGGGACCCATAGGGTAGGTGACGGCGAGACAGCCAGAGGGAGCCCAAGAATAGGGTCTGTAGATGGTAAAGGGTCAGTGGTTATCCCGGGAGGAGTGGAAACAAATAACAAGCTCCCTCTGCACACACGTTCAGGCCTTGGGGAGGCACAAGAAGGCCATGGAGTGGGTGCTGGGTTGTGTGGCACTGACCACTGCCCATGTAGACAAGGAGACTGCAGGCCAGCTACAACAAGCACCAGGCCCAGCACCCACCTTCAGCAGCCGCCCTCCCTTCTAAGTGCTTGTGTTCAGCCCTACCTGGAGGGGGAGTCTGGAAACGTAGGTCCCGCTTGGCTTCATTGAGATGGACCAAAACCACCCGCACGCGTGCCTCTCAGCTCGCTTCCATACCCACCTCTTTGAACTTTACTTTTGGGACATATTTTTTTTAACTTTTATTTTAGTCCATGGATACATGTGCAGGTTTGTGGTACAGATAAACTCATGTCACAGGGGGTTTATTGTAAAGATTATTTTGTCACTCAGGTATTAAGACAAATACCAGTGGTTATTTTTTTTTATTCTCTGCCTTCTCCCATCCTCCACCCTCAAGGAAGCCCCAGTTTCTGTTGTTCCCTTCTTTGTGTCCATGTGTTCTCATCATTTAGCTCCCACTTATAAGTGAGAGCATGCAATATTTGGTTTCTGTTCCTGGGTTAGTTTGCTATGGGTAATGTCCTCCAGCTCCATCCATGTTCCTGCAAAGGACATAATCTCATTCTTTTTATTTTTTTATGGCTGTGTAGTATTCTATGGTATATATGTACCACATTTCCTTTATTTTCTCTGTCACTGATGGGCATTTAAGCTGATTCCCTGTCTCTACTGTTGTGAAGAGTGCTGCTATGAACATTCATGTCTATTTGTCATTATGGTAGAATGATTTTTATTTCTCTGGATATATGCTCCGTAATTGGATTTCTGGGTTGAAAAGTATTTCTGCTTTTAGCTCTTTAAGAAATGGCCATACTGCTTTTCACAATGGTTGAACTAACTTACACGTCCATCAACAATATATAAGTGTTCCCCTTTTCTCCACAACCTCACCAGCTTCTGTTGTTTTTTGACTTTTTAATAATACCCATTTTGACTTGTGTGAGATGGTATCTCATTGTGGTTTGATTTGCATTTCTTTAATAATCAGTCACGTTAAGCTTTTTTTTTCTTATGCTTTTTGGCTGCATGTCTGTATTCATTTGTAAAGTGTCTGTTCATGTTCTTTGCCCGCTTTTTAATGGGACGGTTTGTTTTATTCTTGTAAATTTGTTTAAGTTCCTTATAGATGCTGGATATTAGACCTTTTCAGATGTATCGTTTCCCAAAATTTTCTCCCGTTCTGTAGATTGTTTACTCTATTAATAGTTTCTTTTGCTATACAGAAGGTCTTCAGCTTTAATAGATCTCATCTGTCAATTTTTGCTTTTGATGACACTCTCATGTATGGTCGAAGTGAGTAGAAATTATCACAGCCTTCAGGAGAATTCTTTGTTATTAACTTCCAGTAATTAAAAGGCACACATGCTTTTGCTAGCAATGTCCTGTCAAGAAATTTTCTTCATAGATGCTCACTCATGTAACCTAATATCTACGATTTATACTGATAATGGTTTGAATGTGTGTCCCTGCTCAAATCTCACGTCGAATTGGAGGACGGTCCTGGTGGGAGGTGACTGGGTCATGGGGTGGATTTCCCCCTTGCAGTTCTTGTGACAGTGAGAGAGTTCCCATGAGATCTGGTGGTTTAAAAGTGTGTGGCACTTCTCCCTCACTCTCTTCTGCTGCCATGTGAAGAAGGTGCTTGCTTTCTATTTGACTTCTGCCATGATTTTAAGTTTTTGAGGTCTCCTAGTCATGTTTCCTGTTAGGCCCACAGAACCGTGAATCAATTAAACCTATTTTCTTCATAAATTACCCAGTCTCAGGTAGTTCTTTATAGCAGTGTGAGAACGAACTAACACAGAAAATCGTTGCCAGAAGAGTGGGGGACTTTGGAGCTGAGTAATGGGGAGAGGTTGGAACAGCTTGCAGGGCTCAGAAGAAGACAGGAAAATGTGAGAAGGTTTGGAATTTCTTAGAGACGTGTTGAATAGTTTTGACCAAAATTCTGATAGTAATATGCACAATGAAGTCCAGGCTGTGTTGGTCTCAGATGGAGATGACGAACTTATTGGGAACTAGAGTAAAGGTCACTCTTACTATGCTTTAGCAAAGAGGTTGATGGTATTTCGCCCCTGCCCTAGAGATCTGTGGAACTTTAAACTTGAGAAAGATGATTTAGGGTACCTGGCAGAAGAAATTTCTAGAATTTCTAGGCAGCAAAGCACTCAAGATGTGACCTGGCTGTTTCTAAAAGAGTATGATTGTATGCATGAACAAAGAGATACTCTGAAGCTAGAACTTACCATTAAACAGGGAGCAGAACATAAAAGTTTGGAAAATTTGCAGCCTGACCATGTAGTAGAAAATAAAAACCCATTTTCCAGGGAGAAATTCAAGCCTGCTGCAGAAATGTCCATAAGTAAAGAGAAACAGAATGTTAATTGCCTAGACAACGGGGAAAATGTCTTCAAGGCATGTCAGAAACTGCTGTGACAGTCCCTCCCATCACAGGCTTAGAGGCTTAGGAGGGAGGAATGGTTTTGTGAGCCATACCCAGGATCCAGCTGCTCTGTGTGGCCACATGTCATGGTGCCTTGTGTCCCAGCGGCTCCAGCTTCAGCCGTGGTTAAACAGGGCCAAGGTACAGCCTGGGCTGTTGCTTCAGTGGGTATAAACTCCAAGCCTTGACAGCTTCCACATAGTGTTGGACCTGCAGGTGTGAAAAAGGTAAGAACTGAGGTTTTGGAGCCTCTGCCTAGATTTCAGAGGATGTATGGAAATGCCTGGATGTTCAGGGCAAAGTCTGCTGCAGGGGCAGGGCCCTCGTGGAGAGCCTGTGCTAGGGGAGTGTGATAGGGAAATGTGGGGTTGGAGTCTCCACACAGAGTCCCCCCTGGGGCACTGCCTAGTGGAGCTGTGAGAAGAGGTCTACCGTCCTCCAGGCCCCAGAATGACAGATCCATCAACACTTTGCACTGTGTGCCTAGAAAAGTCCCAGGCACTCAACACCAGCCTATGACAGCAGCCCTGGGGGCCATACCCTGCAGAGCCACAGGGGTGGAGCTGCCTAAGGCCTTGGGAGCCCACCTTTTGCAACAGCATGTCCTGGATGTGAGACATGGAGTCAAAGGAGATTATTTTGGAGCTTTAAGATTTAAAGACTGCTCTGCTGGTTTTCTAACTTGCATGGGGCCTTGTAGCCCTTTGTTTTGACCAATTTCACCCATTTGAGGTGGGAGCATTTATCCAATGCCTGTACTCTCATTGTATCTTGGAAGTAACTAACTTGTTTTGATTTTATAGGCTCATAGGTGGAAGGGACTTACTTTGTCTCAAACGGGACTTTTACCTTGGACTTTTGAGTTCATGCTGAAGTGAGTTAAGAATGGGGGACTGTTAAGAGAAGATCATTGTAATTTGCAATGTGAGAAGGACATGAAATTTGGGAGGGGCCAGGGGAGGAATGATATGGTTTGGATTTGTGTGCCTGCTCAAATCTCATGTTGAATTGGAGGAAGGACCTGGTAGGAGGTGATTGGATCATGGGGGTGGATCTTTCCCTTTCTGTTCTCATGATAGTGAGTGAGTTCTCACGAGATCTGATGGTTGAAAAGTGTGTGGCACTTCCCCCTAGCTCTCTCCCTCTCCTGACACCATGTGAAGAAGGTTCTTGCATCCCCTTCACCTTCCTCCATAGTGTAAGTTTCTTGAGGCCTCCCAGCCATGCTTCCTGTTAAGCCTTCAGAACTGAGTCAATTAAACCTCTTTTCTTCATGAATTACCCAGTCTCAGGTAGTTCTTTATAGCAGCGTGAGAACGGACTAATACATATACACACATTTATGATTATAAATACTATTTTAATACATAATACCTGTAGTGCATATATATAGCACATATGTGTGTGTGTGTGTATATATATACGTATATACACACATATACACACATAGGCACATACGTAATGTATTGCAGCAGTATTTAATCATGAATAACAGGAACTGTGCAACCCTAAATGTGTGGTTTTAAGTGATTTGATTTTTGTAGGCAGCCATAGGGAACTTATAAACTCCAAATATCCACTGATATATTCATATCAAAATTAGGAAGCAACCTCATGACTATCACAATCTTCACATCTGCAATTTCATCTGCTGTGAGAAGAGTTTCTGGGCAGAAGTGACGTATAAAATACCCCAGCTGTAAATAAGGCAATGGGTGTTTCTACTGCTAGAAACTGAAATGGCTGCAACAGATACATGGCAATTGTTCTCAACGAGACATAAATTTAAGCTCTGGCTTTTCTGATCACCCAGCTGTGTGTGTAACTGTGTGTGTGTGTGTTTGCGCGCGTATGTGCATGTGTGTGCATGCATGCATGCTTGTGAATGTGTACCTGCACATGAGCTAGTAGAATTATCATGGGCCTGCAGAAAAGGCACAGTTTCAGTG